TAATGTTTATGAAAAGCCATCAATAACAGAAGTTAGTTTTCTTAAGGCAAGCCGCATCCCAAAGATTTCTTTAAGCACTACACTGTACGGTAAGGATAAAATTTTAAATCCACTGCAACGAAGAAAACTCAGACATCGAATGTCGATGACTTGGAAGCATCATTAATTCGAAGGTAAAAGAGCAAATTTTAGAAATTTTCCAATTTTCTAAAACTTTCTAAAAGTAATTCACGTAACCAAAGTTGAATTGATAGTTATTTTAAAATAAAATAAAGATGATATGCAAGGAAATAAATTCCTTCTTTCGCTAAATTAACCTTTAATGAGAAAATATTCAGAATCAATGTAAATATTACTTTTAAAAGCCGCTTTAAAAACTGCTGTATTTAATGTGTCAGTTTTTAATGAACAAACAGCGTGATATATTATTGAAATTTCATTACATTTGCTTAAACAAACATATGAGTATCAAACTAGAAATATTTGGCTTAATCGAAAATCTATTTTGAATGCTAAAAGAACATATTTTTCAATGAAGCGTGAATAGTTAATTTTCTTTTCAAGCCAAAGTGGCACCGCCTACAAGACTTAAATTATAATATAAAAATCAACAAATAAAATAATTATTTCTTTAAAAATAAAAGTGTGCCTTTAAATATTCATTATCCATTTACTGAAGAATTTAGCCGTCAAAGCTTGTCGACAAATAATAATGTGAAGTCGCGTCATCATCTGTTAATTTGCAATATTTATGAATTACGTTTGTTAGTTGCAAACTTAATGCAGCTAACAAACATAATTCATAAATATTTTTCATAAACAACTAACACACATAAATTATGTTATGTTTGTTAGTTGCAACATTTATGCAACTAACAACTAAAAAAAAAAAAAAACTAATGATTTCTGATTTCTTTTGCTTAATTCGAAGTCTTCCTGTGCAGCCTGTGTAAAGACATTAGGATTTTTGATGCTGAGAGACTTGACAAATGAGCAATGCTCTCGTCGGGACTCGAAACTCGGAACTCTCCAATACCCGCCAAGTGTACTGACCATTACATCACGAAGACATGCTAAGATATAGGGAGAAATACCTAATATACTTCCTCTTTTAAAGGGCGACTAGGGATGACGGGGACCCAGTCGCCAAATCCTGGTGGTGAAGAATCATCAATCACCAACTTTTTTTAATTCGGGTGCAACGATAGAGACATTAGGTTATTTCGAAGTAGGAGACATGAAAAATTAGCAATGTCCTTGCCGAGACTCGAACCTTGGGCCTCTCGAATGCGCGCCGATTGTGCTGACCATTACACCATGAGGGCATGTTTAGATGCGTGAGAAATAACAATAAAGACACAATAACAGTCTCCATGTTGTACAAAAAAAAAAAAAAAAAAAAAAAAAAAAAAAAAAAAAAAAAAAAAAAAAAAAAAAAAAAAGAATGTCTAAAAAATAATTCATCCCATTAGACAGAAAACATTGAAATAGCTGGTTTTGTGTCACGGTAGTGCACCATTCCGCATTCAACTCTCATCCAATGTTATATTACAAAGAAAAGCGTAATGCCTTTTAATTTCCCTTCTTACTCACTAGATTAATAGTAAGTAAAATTCGGTCGGAAGAGCGAATTTGGCCGTTTTAATAGATAACTCAGACCCGTTATGAAATCCTATGCAACGACGCCGCCATTACTTTCCTAATATACTCTGTATGCAAACTACCAAAATCAGCAGTACGAGTGTGCATACATTGCTACAATGTGCTTATAAATTTCACTACACTAGCGACTCAAGTAATTCGAGAATACTAGACATGCCACAAAGCATGTTCAACTCGCGAAGAATATACTAGTTCTATTATTTTTAGTAACTTTAATTTAGAAATTAAACAACGACACATGAATATTATTGAAATAAAAGACTGATTAGAAAAGGAAGCCTACGGAAAGAACATTTGACATCTAAATGCTTATTTTAAAATGAATAAATATACGTGTCGAATATTTGATGACTAATAAGAAGAGATCCCGTTTTTGTGGTAGTCATAGTACTTTTAATAACTGTAGTTCTTTTATTAAAATTATATTTTAAAAAATTTCTACCGCTGAGGGGTGTTTCGCTCCCCCCTGCCATCGCTTATTGCAAATAATAGAGACACTCTAAATGGTCGTTAAAGCCTTGCCCGCATAATGCACTAAAAAGAACTGTCTGGCCTGCGGCTAAAAGCATTTATTTACCCTATGGTTTATCTAATCACCTATTGTATCACATTGCGTTCCTTAATGTAAAATAGCACCTTTAAGAGCACCTCTTTGAAAGCATTTTAGAATTCTTAACAATATAAAGGAGAATTATAAACATATTCAAATAGTTCCCATAAACGTTATATTGCCATTCTTTTAGTGTGGTAAGTCATGCATAACATTAGAGAGAATTTAGTTAGAACTTTGAATAATGATAAAATCATCCGTTCCAAATTTCTTAAGAATTCAGTTAACCCGTTCGCCGTCCTCTCCTGTCAGCGAAAATTTTTCCCCAGCGGCCCTTTGTTTTTCGCAGCGTGTAATGTTGTTTTCTCTGTACGTACATAACTTTCGGTACATATCTTTCGTAGTGGATGAATGTAAATGAATATTAAATAAAATTATAAGGAAATAAAGCATAATGGAAAAGTCATAATATATCTGCTTATTTCTAACAGCAGGATTAATTTGATTATATCTGATCCATGCAGTCCACTTCTCCCATTTTGTTGTTGTAATATTTCAAAATTATTGGTTTTTTACAGTTCTTTTCCGTGTTTCAACAGCAATTATATAGATATTAATGACTGTACTCATCAAACGTATATCCTTCCTGTCTTTCCAATTCACAACCTCATTTTTTTCTTATCTTCTGCTGAGTAGTCGTTGAAGATCTCTCACTGTGTTGTATCTAATGTAAAATGGCGCGAATATTCATAACAACCGGGACAAATTCAATTAGAAATAGAATGCCTGATTAGTGTTACCCTCTAGGAGGTATTAGAACAAACAAAAATAAAAACTCAAACAAGTAAATATATAGAAAGCGTTTTAAACGTTTAAAAGTTTTAAAATGTAAAAGAACGCTTGAAGTGCGTTACGGCCGCCTTGCGGAAGTTTGACTTGAACGCGTTACACGCGTTACGGACGACGAAGAGGTTAAAATTCTGTAAACAAATTCTAAACCGCTAAGGAAATAGGTATAAAAAACAATATTTTAATGTAAGAGCACAGAAAATTAGTTTAGTTAATTCACTATTCATTGCTGCTCGGTCCAATGCTGATCAGCGAAACCAAATAAGAGGAAAGCCGTGGTCCTTGGTACGAATTACAGGCAAACCATGGATAGTAATGTTTGCTGTATCTATACTGAATAAGAATGTTCACAAATCTATCAATTCTGAAGCCTTTTCTTTGCATTTTAAAAGGGAAGAAAATAGTAAAAGCATTAATACTATCGTTCACACCTCACAGGATAATGTGTAGCAGCTGCATACAGTGTTGCATAGTTGTTGATCAGTGATACACAGTATGCACCCTCGATCTTCTTTAGTTCTCTCATCTTAGTTTATCTTGACATTCTAAAACTCTGTCTCGAAAAGTTAAAATTTCTTCCTTCCAAGAAGCGAGAGGTACAGATATAAAGTATATAACTAAATTCTTTCTAATGCTGCGTAAGTCTTTCCATATTCAAAGAACGGCAATAGAATGCTTTCGTTTGTGGGAACTATCTGAATATGTTTATCCTCCTTTATATTTTATAAATTCTATATATTTATATATATTATATAAATTCTCCTTTATATTTTTAAGAATTTGAAATATTTTCAAAGAGGTGCCCTTGAAGGTGCTGTTTTACATTAAGGAACACAATGTGATACAATAAGTGCTTATCACTTATCTAAACTATAAGCAAATAAATACTTTCAGCCGCAGGTCAGAAAGTTCTTTTTTAGTGCGTCATGTGGGCAGGGCTTTAACGACTATTTAGAGTGTCTCTATTATTTGCAATAAGCGATGGAAGCGAGAAGCGAAACAATCTACAGCAGAAAAAATTTCCTTTTTTAAAATATGATTGCAATAAAAGAACTGCAGTTATTCAAAATATTATGAATATGGAAAAACTGGATCTTTTCTTATTAGCCATAAAATGTTTGACACATATTTATTCAGTTTAAAATAAAAATTTAGATGTCAAATGTTCTTTCCGTAGGCTCCTTTTGCTAATCAGTCTTTTATTTCAATAATATTTATGTGCCGTTGTTCAATTTCTAAATCAAAGCTACTAAAAATGATTGGACTATATTCTTCCCCGGAATGAATATGCATTCTGGCATGGCTAGTATTCTCGAATTACAGGTTTGTCGCTAGTGTAGTGAAGTTTATAAGCACACTGTAACAATAGATGCGCATTCATACTGCTGATTTTGGTAGTTTGCGTACAGAATATGTTAAGAAAGTAATGGCAGCGTCGTTCCACAGGATTTCTTAACGGGTCTAACTAAACAATTAGAACGGCCACATTCAAAAAAACAGCTATTTGACCCAAAGTTCTGTTTTCCCTTTAAAAGTTTTAAGGTATTTCTCCCTCCTTCTTAGCATGCCTTCATGGTGTAATGGTCACTTTAAAAAATAATAATTTTTGTAGTTTTTTAAGCATAGCGAAAATTCGATGATATATATCTTGGTACCTTTATTTCATAAGAAAATTTCCTAGTTATCGTTTTGATTAAAAGATATAGCTGCAGCTAATGATAAAATACTTATTTGAGAGAAAGGTTGAAGGAATTTAAAATAAATATTTACTTCTGACAAAAAGCGTGAAATTTTAAATGAACCAATGCTGTTAATATTATTTTATAAACAAAATCTGCAATATTATTACATTTTATTTCGTTAAACTCAAAAAATAAACGAAGGAAAACGTAGTTAAATGTATTTAAATATCGGAGAAAACTTTCAAATAATTAATTACCTTCTCGACAGCACTTGGCAAATGAAGAGGTTTCATGACAATAACTACTCGGAGGGCAATGCTTGGAATCTTCACCGCAATCATAGTCTTCACCTGTTACTGGATTCACAATAGGGCGCTCACCATCACAAGGAATATCTTTATATTCTAAGAAATAAAAGTAATCCATATTTATTACAAAGAGAGTAATTAGATTTTATGATCTAAAACATAAACAATAAAAATATATGAAATACAATTAAAGAGCGATGAATTTTGCAATTGGAATTGGCATGATGCAAATAAAACATACATGTTTTAAAAATAAGATAGAGCAGAATGTTTTATTTTTATTATCTTAGTTTCAGTTACTAAATTCCATGCTCCTTTGAATTTCCAATAAAACAAAAATAAGTTGTTTTTGCCATAAATGTTTACCAAAGAAACGTATTTTGATACATGGTTATACAGCCTATCACTCCCTTAAAACTCTTAGGAAATGTTCCACCTCACCAGTTAGAAATCAACCGTTAGAACTTTCAGAGGTAATCAAGCATATAAATAAGGGGCAAATTTAGACAAAATTCCGCATCAGCAGAAATATTCCCTTGCGAGTGACATTCGTGCCGTATAATAATGATGTTTCTTGGAAAGTATGACACAGAGCACAGAAATATTGGATCTGTAATAAATAATGCTGTAGAATAATAAGCATGTTGTGGATTAGCAAAATCATTTGCAATCCTCATATTGTCATACAAATGTAACTGATGAATGTGGAGCAGAAGTACCAGCAGACGGCATAGCTTCAAGGTAACTGAACCAGCGCTCTTACTGAGTTGTTAACACTGTAGTAGCAACAAACTTCTTAAGAACTCCTGTCCGAAAATGTCTGCAGCAAATTGTCACAACTCTCATGACAGATGGTACAATGGAATTCTAAAGAGCATGAATTCACCAGCATATGAAGATAAAATTTCAGGAATTGTGTAATATGGAATTCACAATTCACTAATGGTATTTGAAGAGCACAATGAGTCCAAAACGGTATAGTGGTTAATGATATGACTTCTGTAATTGGAAAGCCCGGTCTTGCACCCGACAAGAGGCATAGATATTTCTAAATGTATAGAATCTGTGTGGGATGGGGGCACTTGCAAGCCGAAAACTTCTCGAGGGGCTTGGTGACAGCGAAAGACATGTGGGAAATAACAAGATGCTCTCCTTCAAAACTGAGGCGGAACTGGTTAAAGTCGTACTGTCACTATACGATGCTTAAGGTACGATAGATTGTCAAAGTTTTCAACAAAGAAGTGAGCCAAAGAAACAGCCATTGCAGTTTTAAATCCAGTAATATATTTCTTTCACCATCTAAAATGCCTTTTCTTTTCCATACACATCTTAAATAGCGTATGTATACTTATATATAGTACATGTATTTGTGTAGCATATGTAGTATACCTCCTTCTGTGAGTCCATTCTGTTATTATCTGCTCGTTGTCTCACGCATTAACTTTGCCTTCTTCCAACACATTACCATGCCGTGGAGTAACGCACGTGCGTGACGTGGCCAATTTCATAATAGGATACAATTAACAATAGAATGCCTCAAACCTTACAAACGAATTACACTTGAAACTTTGTGACTAGAAATATTTTGCTCGCGTGCGTTATTTTGCACGCCTTGTTCTAGGGTTTGAGGCACTCTGCAAAATGCCACACTTTGTTCCTGTTGCTTTATTCACATGATTAATCACCCTCGAAAGTTTTGTGTCTATTGCTACTGAGAAGTCCAAAAACATTGTTTGTTATAAAGGGCCAGTTCTTTTTATGTGTAAATTATTATTATTATATGCGTGATGCTTTCAAAAACTAAACTATATTCTAAAATCTAATAAATGACTTATTGTATCCCTGTATAACTCCATGCGATATTAAGACACACTATTACATCGCTAAATAGGAAGTTAAAAATGCTCCGTTTAAGGGAATTTTCAGCAATTGTATTAGCATTAACATTCGTTCAGAAACATTTATATATCAGACATATGAAAAATTGAGCTTTCGTATAAACTATACGTATATCAATCATATGTCTCAACAGTGAGCAAAGCATTGTGCATGTTACTTGTATCAAATTAGAAGCAATAATGAAACTGGCCGATTCCCCCCCCCCTGCGTGTACCTTGAAAGTTAACTATTTCTCCCGAATTATCTTTAATTCAAAGCAAATAATGATCATTGTTGAAAAAGTGCTCAATATTTTACTGCGACGTTTATTATTTCTAGATGTGAGCAAAGATGTACATAATGTCAGTAAATACATATGTGTGAAAGATGTATTGGTCTTTATACACCTTACACTGATTTTATGAGTGCAGTAAATATTTGCTTCTATTATTTGTAAGATTTCTAACATGGATCCTTGAAAGATAGCGCATAGCTAAATATCACGTTCAAAATCACTCCATTCTCACTTTATTTTGCTATTAGATTGGTTACTAATTACGATACAACACGTAAGGCTTATTTGCCAGCAGTCATCATATGCGGGGAATATTATAAATTAACTCGTGTTTATTTCATGAACACTTGAGTAAAATCATGAAACATCAATGCCACCTGCTTTTCCCACAAAAGATTGAATTGTGAATGAAGCTGTCAGTGGTGAATCAGTTCAATTCAACCATTTGAAGATACTTTCTATGCCGTTCATATAGTATAATATTTATATGAACCATTGGCAGAATATATTAATAGAACATATTTTCCTGATATAAAAACTGGAACAGTTTATCTTGTTCCCTGAGAATATATGTGGTGTTATTTTTTTTGAAGTGCTAGAGAGCTTTTTTTTTTTTTAAATATAGTTTAAATTGACAAAATTTCTAAACCTAGTTGAATCATATTGAAGCGTCAAGAAATAACATCAAATGCATTAAAATTAAGGGTTCTTAGTTTTGATAATGAAATTTCAAATGAAGAAACATGTATAAATTAGATATGCACTTAAGTATAAAATATACGTGGTTTATGAGCGGATTAACCCAAATTAAGTACGCTTGCAGCCCAACTAGAATAGTGATTAGCGACGCTGACTGCCGTACCGAACGGCTCGGGTTCGAATCTCGGAGAAGGCATGGATATTTGCAAACGTATGTCTGTGCGGCATGAAGGCATTCTAAATATGCGGCGAGCCGAAGCTTCTCTCGAGAGGTTGGTGGTAAGAGAAGAGGAGTAGGAGACCCTCGGGCCTTTCCCCCCCCCGGTGTGCTCTTCGTCGAAACTGGGATTAGAACAGACGAGAGTCGTAGGGTCATGTGTATGGTGCTCAAGGCTCTTGTCAACGATAGGCGCAATCTTGATGTTATTGTCAGACAAGTGAGATTGGTCACAACATCAGCAAGAAGGCTTTATCTTTTAAATTTATAAATAAGGAAAGACGATAAGCATATGAAATAAAAAGGCAAAATGTTCAAATACTACTTTCACTTGTTCTATACGGACTTGCTTTATAATTATCAAAAGTAGAAGACTATAATTAAAAACTTTTCATGCTTGCCGCAGCATTTAATTCTTTCGTTACTTTCTCCACATGATTTAAACAGCTATTTCAGTAATAGCTTGTGAGGAAAAGTTGGGAGAACAGAACACCTTTAACTTATTCCCAAAAGAAGAATATTGGAAGGTGGTAAGCACGAGGTTTGAACGAGCAGTCAAGCACAACATATGACGATATTCTTAAACTGAGATATTTCCTTTGTCGTTCGAAGCAGTTTTATAATTCGAAGTTTTATACTTTACTAATATGTATCCATATATGCTCAGCTGAAACAGAGATAAGCATTTCTGATAATATTGAATAATTCCATACATAATGACTATAATGCACGTACCTTCACACATTGACATGGGTAATATATATATTTGTAGTTGAAGACGGCATGCTTCTTCTTTCAATGTGCAGTCATTCATATGGATAGCATTATCGGACCCGCATACTGCTTTCCCACCTGGAGGACAATTAAAGTTGCACACACATCGAGGCAGACCATCTATACCATATTCACAAGTAGCACCGAATTTGCAATTTTTTTCTTGACAACCCCTGCTTCCGGATCCCATATCTGAAAATGAATAAAATTGTGCAAAGCTCTTACGTTTATATCTTTATATAAGCATAAATCAAAAACATTTTAAATAATCGCAAATAATAAGATATCACATATAGTCCATGAAACAAAGCTTTGCAATGTAATGAATAGCATATATTTTTATTATGATGTCGCAACGCACTAAACTTCTACATATTGTTTATTACTAAGGAAATAAGATGGATTTTTACATTCAGAGAAGGATTTGCTTGACTATTCTAATACTTATCAATGTGACAATATAAATCTAATGAGGTATGGGTTTATTTGCATGCCATCCAAATTAATTTTAATTGCACTCTTTCCCATTATCGGTCTCGCCTATACTATAGCACAAAATGGTAGCTGGAAATTAATGGATCCACGTGTTACTACTTACAGAACACAGCGACATGAGAGTTCTATTCAGCAACTATGCATAGAACGATGGTTGGTATAAGGTGGTGAAGCTGAATAGTTTCTGCTCATTATTTAGTTGCGATGTCTTCTTCTGTTATATTCACAAAAACAGTAACAATACATGGTGCCCACAAAGTCCCCGAACAATCTGTAATTATTGTGAGCATCCTGTAATAGGTAGTGCTGTAAATTTTTGTGATGTTCTTACATGTATATAAAAGAGATTTTTTGTAGTAATATGTTTTAATTTAATGCATACGCAATATGAGGATTTGGGGAATCGAAACTCCTAAATTTTTCTAAATACTGCCAATGGTAACAGTAACAACTAAACAATTTTATGAATAAAATTAAATGATACTTTCTATATATGTTTCACATAATCTGATGCATGCTGCGAAGCGGAAGATTTTAGAAATATTAATTACAAGTTGAATTATCACTTTTTATTTTGAGATTTTGAATGCAATAACTGGAAAATATGCAGTAAATATTTACATATCTCAAGAATACATAATTATTTCTTAATTATTTTACTTTATTTAATACACAACAAGTGTAAACATGAATACAAATTTTAAAAAACTGTATATTTATGCATACATTGCTCATCGTCGCCATTGCCGTAAAGGCAAAATTTAAGCAAAAATTATTCTTTTTTTTCATAATTAAAATTATTTAGCATTATTTTTGAAGCAGTTTTTACACGTTATGCTTAACCTTAAACTAATATGCTTATATTTGAAATAAAAACTATTTTTTTAAAAAAAAGATATCCGAACGAGGTCGGTACATTACATTTGCCCTCAGTTGGATCTGTCAGCTAGAGGCCATTTTTCAGCATAATGGCAAAGCATCACACTTTGTATTGTGTATTCGCATCACGTGTACTGTGTATTCACAGTTTTCTCGATAGAATATTACCCAGCAGATGGATCGGGAGGGATAGACCCATTTCATAGTCACCGTGTTCGCTTGATATAAACCCTTCAGACTTCTTTTTGTAGGGCTATGTTAAAGACATTGTTTCCTGTTCGAAAGAGTCAAACATTGTGGACCTCAAGACCAGAATCAGCAATACTGTTGCAGCCATTGATTTCGCTATGTTGCACTGTATATGGACAAAGCTGAAGTATCAGTTTGATACTCCGTTCGCCACCTCTACTTTCGGAGCAGTGGTACTGCATATAGAGATAGTGTAACTTTGAATCTTGATTTTGAAAACGTGACCAGCATCAATGGTATGAGTTGCTTCATTGCCAAAAAACAACCTACTTGTTGTTTAGGAATTTTGTGGGCACTCTGTATTTTGTTAAATAACTCAAAGCTTGAGCTTGGAAGACTTCTGACACTGTCACCACAATGTGACTTTATTGTCACGATGTGCAGCATTTCTGTATCTCAGTGCGCTATAACATGTTGGATGACTAAAATGTCTATGGTCAAGTAATTAAATTTACTCACATTTGATTGAGAAAACATAGAAACATTTCGATTCCAAGTTCAAATATTATTTGCCAAAATTTTGCAGGTGCTTGGGTTACTGTAACCTAAACTGGTTCAAAGACACCCCACTTCTTATTATTGTGTACTCTGAATTTGAAATTTAAAATACTCGATGCTAAATTTATAGAGTAATCGCTTATTAACCTGGTCATTCAAGTTAAAATATTGTAGGTACGGTTATTTCTTCTAATTACGAAAACTTACCAAAAGCGATACAACAAAATGTTCTCACATTTCATTACATCAGTTGCTAAAGCTTTTGAAAGGAATACTCTTCAAAATAAATGATTGATGGGTGAATAAATATATCTGCTATTTTTGCATTTGAGTGAATGGTACAAAATTTAAGCATGAAAGGAAAGTATAGAATATTTCACTCGTGATAAGGAATAATGGAGCATCTTTCTCCGTGTGCCAATCATGGCCTACGGCCAAGACTCTCAGGTGTATACAACCTGAGTGCATAAAATCTTTCAGATTCCTTTCATATCTCTTAAACTATTCTCAAAACTCGTCTAACGTCTAACACTCTTCTTCAGAGTTTTATTTTTCCCCCATGCGATTTTGATTTCATATCCGGTGAATCTTAGTCTAAAAAATTCTCACTTTTTTAACTTTCCTTCTTTTTATAAGCCAAACTATTCCGTGTTTGCTTTCGTTCAATCAATATATTATTTTAGATTTTTTGTCCGTATTTAACACGATAAAGGCGGCATCATTTTTCTTCGCCAGTACTTGAAAGCCTTAAAGAATATGTATGAGATTCTTCAGTTGAGGCTTTTACCTTCTTGCACGTTTCTGAAATGCTAATCACCATCAGATTTAAAGGGTAAAGTAAATTTAACTTTTACCTTATTTCAGTTTTTTAGATGGGGTTCTGGTTATCACTGGTATGCAGAATCAGAAGTAGAAAAGAAAGGAAGGTAAGAGAGTTTGATGGTTAATCTTTAAGGAAATTTCTAACACAGACACTAGTAACAACTTTTCCTACATATGTAAAGCCAGAGTATGTGATTCCGTTGTACACAACTCTTATAAAATTGCATGATAATAATATTAATTGTTCATTTAAAACATTAAATTGCAGAAAGTCAAAATAAACTTTTCCCATTTAATAGTATTTGTCAGCAGGCTCCCAAAGCATCCATTTTATTTCAGATATTATGATTTCAAATAAAGGAGCTGTTTTCTACTTTTAGTAAAATTGTAATTAAATTGTTGCATTTCCCCGTGCAATGCTGCGCGCGACGGGTTTTAAGAGAAAACTAAACCGAAAAATTAAAAATACTGGAGCACGCGCATTTAATACATAGATATCTCATATAATTGTAGTCTTTTGCTTTCCAGAAACCTCGAGAAAATAAAAATTACCAGAATGTTCTCGTGGATGATTAAAAAGCTTGTAAACTCCGGAGGAAAACATCTCAGTTCAGTTGTTTACTTAGTTCTTGTTGTTAATTGTAGCGAATTCGTGGGATCGGGTGAGATCGAATTAGCTTTTTCTGCTTTTAATTGTGTTCTATTTAACGTTTTAGTAGTTTAAAACATAACTACTGTGAGATATTATGATACTGTATGTACGTTCCGTTGTTAAAAATAGTGGACTGTAAATTCACTTGATATTACTTCAGTATAGAACCCAAAAAACCTCAGAATCATAACGTTGACCGAAACTTCTTTATTGACTTTCAAAGTAATTTAGTTGAGGAACGGCGAAGACCACACAAACTCCGACTTCAGTGGCGGCTTACCAACACAAACTCAGAAGAACCTCTGCTTAGTTGAAACTCCAGTAATTCACAGCGACCTCAAAGCTCTAAACGCGAGCTTTAAAATCCTAACAAATTTGCGTCTGCGCCGCTCCTCGGTACAAGGAAATACAATTTGCATAACATCGAACACTGTATGTATATCTCTGAGGAAATTTGAGCATTTTGTTTTATTTCTTGGGATATGAATAAGTGTTGTTAATTTTTTACCGATTTGTACACTAAGAACCCGTACGTACACAATAGTACTAAATCTGCGATTAAAATCTTTATTTCTATCAGTGCAAGGGACTCTAAGATATGAGACTCCTTTGTCACAGAGACAGTAAAATGTATGATTAATAATAGCTTAATTGTAGATGACAGGGCAGTATCATTTTCTGTTACATTTGATGGCATTAATAGATAGTAATTTCAGCATGGAAGTCATAAAATAATATTTCGATGAGGAAATATTTAAGAATATTTTCGGATTTACAATTATGAAAAAAGGACAAATTTTAATTAGGGAAAATATTATTAAATTTTATATTTTATTTTTCTAAACGGAAGAATCAGTGGTATTGCGCTGCATTTGCACTTGATAAGAAAAATGCGATGATAATCTTAAGTTTTGTACTTTCTTTGTGGAACTGAGGTTGTTTAAATGAAAGTTTGAAAAACTGGTGTTTGAGAAAAGTAAAATTTTCTTTCAGAAATTAAAACTATAAAGAATATCTTAATAATAATAATAATTAATTAATTAATAATCATAAGTCTCAAATCTCCCTACAATTTTTTAGTTCATTTAAACACAGATTTTATAATTCTTTGTAAAAGTTCATCAAAATTATTAATAATTTTGACACTTGAATTCGTTGATGTTGCTCCCATTCGGTAAATATTTTTTTCAATAGTTTTGGATTCATCTTTAGCTTCAGATTAACTACAGTTCTTAAGAACTAGACGTTCTTTCCTTCTTTTCGTATGAAAATCACTTTAACTGCTAAATGTATCATCACTTTCCATTTAAATTTTTCGCCCGCTGACTTGTTTCTAACTTCTGTTGAAGAAAGGCTCCTAGCACAGTTTAAATGAATGTAAAGAGATATTATCATAACAAAATCAGATGCAGATTTTCACATATTCATGGAATCCGGATGTGAAACTTGATTATATGGCCTTAGATTTCGGACTGATGAGAATGTCAATGAAATATAAACATGGAGAGTAAATCTGATGCCTCAATTAACAATGCAACGCTTTATAATCCTAATTTCAATATAATAACAGTGAAAAATCTTTGACGCATTGCGACCA